GTAGAGCTAATCATAGGTCAACATTCACTTGTTTTACTACACTTTTTTTGCCTTGCACGAATGTTTAATAAATATAGAACTTTGCCAATTTTTGTTAATATAATCTTTTCTATGGAGTTAAATTTTGAAAATATTGGGAAGAGTTGCCCTATTTATTTCTTTTAGACTAAGTGTTGGATCATTGACTTAATTTAACTGACACAAAAATCTATTATAAGGGGGATTTCAAATTACATGAATGTGGAATTATTACTTGCACATATTGAATCTTCATTATGTGAAATATATAACTATTATGCTAAAAAAAGGACGTCCCGACAATTATAGTTCGTAAGTACCTTTACTATTAGCAACAACATGACCGCATTCAACATCGGCGATTGGCATCGCTGTATTAGCGCCTATCGCCACAAGTCGCGAAGCAGCAGCGCGGCGAGTTGACCCGTTTCCAACCCACTTTTGACCAATTTTTTTTATTGCTAAGAATAAGAAATCAACAATCAACTTTTGATTATTTTCAAGATTCAAGATAATATATAAACAATCAACTTTTGATTGTTTAAACATACAAAGCAGTTTCTAACAAGCAAAAAGTAGACTTTCATGCCACTGTTGAAAATTTACTTAGTCAAGCATAGAGAAAAATAAAACAAATTTCAACTCCCACCAAGAATTTGTTTTGTGTTTAGATAGAAAATGTGATAGAAAATTTATTTTTGTTGAATTTTGCAAACTTTTTTATTATCTGTATGCGATCACAGATGATTTAAAATTCAGTCATATATAATTTATAACTCACAATCACAAATTCTTTTGATTAAAAAATTACCAAGATTTGAATTTGCGGATTATATTATTTAAGTTATTAGAATATTAATTCAATTAAATAATAAATTTTGTCATAAATGAAATACATCAATTATATATTTAAAGTATTTATATCCAAGATTGATTGAACTTATGGCATAACACTTAAATCACTCCCCGTTGTCAAAAACTTGACACTTCTCCTTATCATTTACTTCCATAAGAATTAGGAAATAATCACAAATGATAAACACGGTAAGCAATGAAATTGACAAGAGAAGAAGCAATATATATTACATGACAAACGACAATATATATTACATTAGAACATAATAAAAAGGTTTGAATTCCAGACAATCATCAAACTTTTTAAATTGCTATTCTCATTGTGCTGTCTTTCAAATGGTTGTGGGACG